ACGTAACCACGTGTGTGTGTTGGCTAAACGTAACCACGTGTGTGTGTTGGCTAAACGTAACCACGTGTGTGTGTTGGCTAAACGTAACCACGTGTGTGTGTTGGCTAAACGTAACCACGTGTGTGTGTTGGCTAAACGTAACCACGTGTGTGTGTTGGCTAAACGTAACCACGTGTGTGTGTTGGCTAAACGTAACCACGTGTGTGTGTTGGCTAAACGTAACCACGTGTGTGTGTTGGCTAAACGTAACCACGTGTGTGTGTTGGCTAAACGTAACCACGTGTGTGTGTTGGCTAAACGTAACCACGTGTGTGTGTTGGCTAAACGTAACCACGTGTGTGTGTTGGCTAAACGTAACCACGTGTGTGTGTTGGCTAAACGTAACCACGTGTGTGTGTTGGCTAAACGTAACCACGTGTGTGTGTTGGCTAAACGTAACCACGTGTGTGTGTTGGCTAAACGTAACCACGTGTGTGTGTTGGCTAAACGTAACCACGTGTGTGTGTTGGCTAAACGTAACCACGTGTGTGTGTTGGCTAAACGTAACCACGTGTGTGTGTTGGCTAAACGTAACCACGTGTGTGTGTTGGCTAAACGTAACCACGTGTGTGTGTTGGCTAAACGTAACCACGTGTGTGTGTTGGCTAAACGTAACCACGTGTGTGTGTTGGCTAAACGTAACCACGTGTGTGTGTTGGCTAAACGTAACCACGTGTGTGTGTTGGCTAAACGTAACCACGTGTGTGTGTTGGCTAAACGTAACCACGTGTGTGTGTTGGCTAAACGTAACCACGTGTGTGTGTTGGCTAAACGTAACCACGTGTGTGTGTTGGCTAAACGTAACCACGTGTGTGTGTTGGCTAAACGTAACCACGTGTGTGTGTTGGCTAAACGTAACCACGTGTGTGTGTTGGCTAAACGTAACCACGTGTGTGTGTTGGCTAAACGTAACCACGTGTGTGTGTTGGCTAAACGTAACCACGTGTGTGTGTTGGCTAAACGTAACCACGTGTGTGTGTTGGCTAAACGTAACCACGTGTGTGTGTTGGCTAAACGTAACCACGTGTGTGTGTTGGCTAAACGTAACCACGTGTGTGTGTTGGCTAAACGTAACCACGTGTGTGTGTTGGCTAAACGTAACCACGTGTGTGTGTTGGCTAAACGTAACCACGTGTGTGTGTTGGCTAAACGTAACCACGTGTGTGTGTTGGCTAAACGTAACCACGTGTGTGTGTTGGCTAAACGTAACCACGTGTGTGTGTTGGCTAAACGTAACCACGTGTGTGTGTTGGCTAAACGTAACCACGTGTGTGTGTTGGCTAAACGTAACCACGTGTGTGTGTTGGCTAAACGTAACCACGTGTGTGTGTTGGCTAAACGTAACCACGTGTGTGTGTTGGCTAAACGTAACCACGTGTGTGTGTTGGCTAAACGTAACCACGTGTGTGTGTTGGCTAAACGTAACCACGTGTGTGTGTTGGCTAAACGTAACCACGTGTGTGTGTTGGCTAAACGTAACCACGTGTGTGTGTTGGCTAAACGTAACCACGTGTGTGTGTTGGCTAAACGTAACCACGTGTGTGTGTTGGCTAAACGTAACCACGTGTGTGTGTTGGCTAAACGTAACCACGTGTGTGTGTTGGCTAAACGTAACCACGTGTGTGTGTTGGCTAAACGTAACCACGTGTGTGTGTTGGCTAAACGTAACCACGTGTGTGTGTTGGCTAAACGTAACCACGTGTGTGTGTTGGCTAAACGTAACCACGTGTGTGTGTTGGCTAAACGTAACCACGTGTGTGTGTTGGCTAAACGTAACCACGTGTGTGTGTTGGCTAAACGTAACCACGTGTGTGTGTTGGCTAAACGTAACCACGTGTGTGTGTTGGCTAAACGTAACCACGTGTGTGTGTTGGCTAAACGTAACCACGTGTGTGTGTTGGCTAAACGTAACCACGTGTGTGTGTTGGCTAAACGTAACCACGTGTGTGTGTTGGCTAAACGTAACCACGTGTGTGTGTTGGCTAAACGTAACCACGTGTGTGTGTTGGCTAAACGTAACCACGTGTGTGTGTTGGCTAAACGTAACCACGTGTGTGTGTTGGCTAAACGTAACCACGTGTGTGTGTTGGCTAAACGTAACCACGTGTGTGTGTTGGCTAAACGTAACCACGTGTGTGTGTTGGCTAAACGTAACCACGTGTGTGTGTTGGCTAAACGTAACCACGTGTGTGTGTTGGCTAAACGTAACCACGTGTGTGTGTTGGCTAAACGTAACCACGTGTGTGTGTTGGCTAAACGTAACCACGTGTGTGTGTTGGCTAAACGTAACCACGTGTGTGTGTTGGCTAAACGTAACCACGTGTGTGTGTTGGCTAAACGTAACCACGTGTGTGTGTTGGCTAAACGTAACCACGTGTGTGTGTTGGCTAAACGTAACCACGTGTGTGTGTTGGCTAAACGTAACCACGTGTGTGTGTTGGCTAAACGTAACCACGTGTGTGTGTTGGCTAAACGTAACCACGTGTGTGTGTTGGCTAAACGTAACCACGTGTGTGTGTTGGCTAAACGTAACCACGTGTGTGTGTTGGCTAAACGTAACCACGTGTGTG